TTCTGGTATCCAATTTTTCAATTGCATCACAAGACGTACTTGGTCGAACTTCTGTCCTACGCCTACCACGTACCTCCGCAGTTACAGGATTAGTAATATCTGTGAAACTTACACAGTCATTGACAGACATCTCCCTTCTAAAACATAACTGTTGCACAGAAGCAGCAGCAGCTTCAGCTGCTCTTCGGTACACTTGCCTGCGCCCTACAACTTCCTTTCTCTTTCTTTTATACATAACTATAAACTAAATTAAACAGGTAAACAATCAAAAAAGTATTAATATTAAAAAAAATTCTTCAACTGTTGTCACTTCGGCAACAGTATTGAGTGGTAACTGTACAGGAATATCTAGAGGAAGGTGATTCTTTGGTAATGAAGCAGTAGTCAGAGCCACCTGTTGATTACGGAGCAAGCCTATTATTTCTTTATTTTGTTCTTTTAATACAGCAATTTCTTTACTTTGCTCTCTAATCAGCGCCGGTTTAGGAACATTTTCTCCCCTAGGCACAGCCCTTTAAGCGCCCACCCGACACGTAAAAAAATCCTTTATTAAAAAATTAGTCTTTAATAGAAAATAAATGGAATAGTACGAAAGCGCCTAAGGGTCACAAAATTATAATAAAATTATCTTTTCCAATATATTGGAAAAAAATTGAATGTATTGGGAAAAAAATTGAATATATTGGAAAAAAATTGAATATATTGCGAAAAAAATTGAATATATTGGAAAAGAACATATTATTGTCACACACTCAACACTTATGTCGGATATTGCAGAGTGAGTTGCGAGTTTAATGTGCAGTGGCGTTTGTGGAAAATCTAAATGAATAACGTAGATTTATTTGATGCACCTAGCAACGCATTACGATGAAATACTGGCTTTTATCTATTTGAGACATAATGTAGAGATGAGTTTATCAACACTTAACCGTAAATTGAAGAAGTTAAAATTGTATAGAAAAAAACATTATTCGGATTTATCCACAATCATCGATTTTATCTAAAGCCAATTAAAAGAATCTGGTCAATTATGTGGATATCGTTGGATTCATCATAGATGTATACAGAATGGATTTGTTGTGACACAGGCTACAATTATAGTAGGTAATTTTACAAGAATTGGACCCAGGAGGCGTAGAATACAGAAAACGTAAAAGACTACGCCGACGAAAATATTCGACAAATGGCCCTAATTATGTATGGCATATGGACGCATATGACCAGAGACTTATAACTAGACCGCGCGTAACGTAGATTTTGCTATAAACGCATGTTATCAAGATAGGATAGGCAACCAACTGTTCATCGCGGGGCGGACGTATACGTTCTGCAGCTTGCTTTAGCCATGTTTATTCTAAATTTTAGTAGCAAAAAAAGATAACATATCGCACATCTAGTTCAATAGTGCCATAAGTGCAAAAAATTCAAATTTTCACTTAAGTCCATATTGCTGTTCTTCTATGTCTAACGCATGCACTGCAATATAGCCATATGTAACATTTTAATATTATTCAATGCAGTGTAAGATATTTCCCTATTGCAGGTTCATAGTATTGTGGTGCAATAGAGCCGTAACTGTCAGTTGTGGCCATATGATTCTTGAATACTTGCGCATCATGGTGCGCTACCGCCGCAAACAACAGTTATGGCTCTATAGCATCAAAAACTATTTTGCCGCTATAATTATGACGCAGTTGCTTTCCTACCAACAACAGTGAAGTGTGTGTTTGTTTCCGCTGGCAACAGATTAATTTGGTGTTAAGTGAACAAATATTGTATCTTGAGCGAGTATTGCACATTCGTTTGTTATTATGTCTCGTGCAAAAAAGTTAGTAAAGTTGGCTTTAGATAAAGATAACATTGAAAACGAGGATCCGAAAGAGAGTGAGGTTCGAGTAAACAAACGCTTGGTTTTATAATCTCTAGATGTATTTGTATTTTAGAACACCTCTAAACCAAAGAAAACGTATGCTGAACTTCAAAATTGCCAGTTGGTACCTAACGTAATATTACAAGAAGTAAGTCTAAAGCGGGGTTCACATTTGTGCATTTCCATGCTGCAACTGTGATGCGGCATTAAAATGCTTGCATTTTTCCCCTTCACATTATGCATTTTTTCTTGCAATTTTTGATGCGCATGGAAATGCATGCTTTAGACCACGTTCTATTTTGTATGCATTTTTTGGCGCATCTTTAGTAATATTTTTAGGAATATTTCTCTTGCCAATAGCTAGAATTAAGTTTGCAAAGTTCGTTGACTCATGGCTGTTTATGTTTCTTAACCTTACATTTTAATTTTAAACAGTTTGGAATTGGGTTAATTATTTTATTTAGTGTTAAAAATAAACCGTGAAATACGTGCTTTTCCATGGTCGCGTACCTTAGTGGAGGACCTTATAATTTTGTACGAAGCGCAACCCTTATTGTATACAACGAAAATGAAAGAATATAAGAATAAAATGAAACGGCAAAATGCAATACAATCAATAAAAAATGAATTGATGAAAAAGTATCAGGTTGAGTGCCGCAATTTAACGGACCAAGACATAATTAAAAAAGTACACGTAATTCGGACGCAAAATTTTTTATTATGTCGGGGTAATGTCGTTAATTGGGATCGAGTTATAACTTTCTAAATAGTCTAAATAATCATTTCAGCTCAATACCAGACATTAGCTGGAAACGATTCCTCAAGGAGTTTCTGTCACAGCTCAGCTGATTTTTTTTCTGCTGGGATCACTTGCACCTGCTTGATAGACAACCCATCGTACAGACCTCGCTAAATGAATGCCTACATTCGGCACACAGGATAAGCTAGGAGCAATTTCACTGAATGCATAGGGCTTATTGCAAATTTTGGGCACAATTTAGTCTACCAACAGGTCAGTTGGTAAATGCAGTAATTTTTTTAGTAATAAAATAAGTATTAATGTTACAGGTACCTCATCACCTTTAACCCTTTGTGCCTCTAGACTTTGACTAACTATCCCTTAGCCTTTTTTTGTCCAGTGGTTGTTCAGCAGATTCCTACGAACCGAAACTTTGGTGTTTTGACATGCTGCAGTTTTTAAACGAATGCGATCCAGTGAGGGAAAGCCAATCAAATATTGAACCATCAGTAAGTATTTATTTATAAGGTTTTTAAAATAATCACATTGTAATTGATTTTAAGGAGACCCAAATATTCACGCCCAATGGTACTACAGTTACATATGATGAGGATATTGTGTTTGAAGGCACGCTGGAAGACCTGGATGAATATGAAGTTGATGCTTTCAATAACAGTCCATGCACTTCACAAACATCGACATCAAGGGCAACTACACCTACAGTATCAAAAAGCAAGAGGAAAATGCAGAACTCTGTGGCAGACCTAATCCAAACCGCTGTACAATCCCTCGAAAGTTGCAAAAAAAGGCCCCACATTGAAGATGAATTTGATATATTTGCAAAGTAAGTGTTTTAAATAGCAATTAAATAAGTTGCCAGTGATAAATATTAAAAAAACTATCAATTTTTATTATGTTGTAGGACAATCGCAACAGAGTTGAGGAAAGTCGAAGACCCTTACAAAATACGGATGTTGAAGAAGGAGATATTTACAAAAGTTGTTGATGCTCAATATGATTAGATTTTATTTTGTACATTTGTTTATTGATAATAATAATGCTATGCTAAGTCATTTTGCCATTCTACTGCTCCTATACCATTTACATATTGTACAAATTCATTTCGATTATCAAGTGCTGATGCAGTTGACCTGTTGCCTGCTTGTCGACTTAAGGTGTACTTAAATGTGAATCGCCTATCAATGTTCTGTTCCTTAACATCATAACCATTTGGGGACCTTGTTCGCAAAAAATTATGTAGCACAATGCATGCTAGAGTTAATGTTTGGGCCTTACTTGGGTCCAAACTTATAATGTTCAATAATACACGAAAACGATTTGTTAATATCCCAAATGCGTTCTCCACAACTCTTCGTGCTCTGCTTAGGCGATAATTGAATATACGTTGTTGCCAAGTCATATTACGAAATGGAAACGGCTTTAAAATATGACGGGATAATGGAAATGCTGCATCAGCAACTATTACATATGGTACTGGTTTGGTACCCGCTGGCAATGGTCTTTCCTCTGGAAAATTTAATTTGTTTGTTTCAATCGCTGCAGCAAGTGAACTATTCTTGTATACACCCCCATCTGAAATTTTTCCATTTCTACCCACATCGACATATAAAAAGCTATAATTGGCATCAACCAAAGCCAATAGTACGATACTGTGTGTGTGCTTATAATTAAAATATGACGATCCTTCATTTGCGGGAGCTTTTATAACAACGTGTTTACCATCTAATGCACCTAACACATGTGGCAAGTTCCATCTTTCTTCAAATTCATTAGCAATTTTTAACCATTCTTGGGTTGTAGTAGGCATCTAAAAATATTATTTAGTTAAACATCATTTTTATTCATTGTCGAGTGTAGCTGTATCTACCTTTAAATACTGATTTTTTAAATTATTGTAAATGGCAATGCAAACTTCTGGGATTATTCCAGCAATTGTTGATTGTCCCATTCTAAATGAAAAGGAAAGACTTTTATAAGACTCGCCAGTAGCTAGATAGCGCAATGTAACAGATAATCGGTCTTTGGCCGAAATTGCATTCCTGAATTTAGTGTCCTGTTTCTGTATATCATTTTCAATAAGTTTCAATAGATCATTGAAAGTATCTTCATCCATTCTAATAAAATTCTTGTAATTTTCTTTATCCAGCACTGCTAATTCATTGTGCAACAAATTAGAATTGCCTTGACTATTTGTTTCCCGTTGCTCAATCCATGGTCTTACCCACCACCGTCTCTTACGATTTAATAATAAAGCTGCAGATGCACCAATTATAAGTGTTATTAGAACAATTTCTTCCACATCCATACTTCAAGTATTTGAACTTTGAGGGAAAAATTTATAAGAAAAACACTTTTATTTTTTACTCCAGAATGCCAATTGAGGAGAACTGGGTTGGCAAAAAGTAAATTCCCTAACTAGTGATATTTGTAATTGCATCAAAAATTGCAGTAATCTGAATAGCTACGCGCGCATGAAAAAATGCAGCAACTTGATGCGCCATCAAATGCAGCATGAAAATGCACAAATGTGAACCCCGCTTTAATGAATCTGTCATGATTCACGACAAATAATATTGTCATTTATTTGAATTTTTATTATTTTAGTATTCTACGAATCAACCCTTTTTATTGGACTTAGAGGTAGATTTTTCGAAATACAATGATCTCATTTTTGGATTAGAGGCACATAACGTAAGTTGATTTAACTTTAAATAACAATTATGTACTTATTTTTATATTAGAACTCAACAACGCTAGATTTACCAGGATGCTCAGGGAATACTGCAGTGTCAGAGATTAGTAATGGACATGTTGTGACTCCCTTGGACGACCAGCAAGCGGAGGAGGTGACCAGTTAATATCAGAATCTTCCCATATTACACTCATTTGCGTTCTAGATTAATAATGATGCAGCCATTTTTGACTCAGATGATTCCATTAATGATAAAGATTACACACCTTCAGGTGATGATTCTAGTTCACCAGAAAACACAAGCTCTGAAATCGAAGTGAACCCTAATAATGATGTAGAAAAACGGATTATCGCTGAAGCTCAAGATGAAAAGAAAAAACCACGTAAAATAATCGCTAGGCCCGAAACTTGGAAAAGGAACGTGAAAAAAATGAGGGTAAATTCAGGTTTGCCCTATGTGTCTGAAGGTAATAGGGAGATTCCTGGAAAACGTTTAAAACCTCCTTGTACAACAAAATGCAGGTCAGCGTGTACTACTAAATTTACCGATGCTGATAGACTAACTATTCACACTTGTTTTTGGAAACAAGGAGATAATGCTCTTCAAAGACAATTTGTAAGTAGTCACATGGAAACTCTAAAAGTAAAATACCGTCGAGCCATTGAGGGAAGTAATCGCAGTGAAAATTTGTGTTATTACTTGACGCTGCGAGGAATTAAAATACAAGTGTGTAAAACATTTTTCATGAACACCCTGGACATTGGTGATAAGTTTATAAGGACAACATGGAAAAAATCGAATGGTAATGCTCTGATAGAAAGAGATCGAAGAGGAAACTTCAATAAGAGGGAAACAATCAATACTTCGATTAAAGAAAAAATTGTTGCTCACATCAACTCTTTTGAACGAATAGAATCTCATTATCTCAGAGCACAGACGACACGTGAGTACATAGACGGATCTTTAACGATAGCGCAAATGTATCGATACTATAAATCCGAGCAAGAGGCTGAAGGGTTGCCAGTTGCCAAAAAATGTACCTATGAACACATTTTTAAAACCCAATTTAACATATCATTTTTCCAACCTAAAAAGGACCAATGTGCAATTTGCGAAACCTTTAAAAATTCTGATACAGACGAAAGATTGTCGCTTCAGAAAGGATACGAACGGCACATTAACAACAAAATCAAGAGTAGAGAAGAAAAGGCTCGAGACGTCGAGAAAGGAAAACAAGATTCTTCCTTTAAAATAGCCTGTTTTGACTTACAAGCGGTTTTACCGACGCCTTGTGGAGATGTTTCCACATTTTATTACAAATGCCGTTTAAATTGTTTGAACTTCACAGTTTTTGAAATACCATCGAAAAGAGGGTTTTGTTACTTTTGGCATGAGGCGATTGCTAATAGAGGTGCTAATGAAATAGCAACTTGTATATTACATTATTTAAAAACGGAGTGCAAAGGAAAAGATGTCATCTTCTATTCCGACAACTGCGTAGGGCAAAATAAGAACAAAATGATTGTTTCTATGTATCTCTGCGCAGTTAACAAATTTGATGTCAAAAGCATTACACATAAATTCCTTACGGTAGGCCATACCCAAAATGAAGGAGACTCAATGCACGCCAGTATTGAGCGCCAGAAGCGTAGAGTACTAAGAAGTGGCCCTATTTATGTACCGTCACAATGGGCTCCAATTATCAGAGCGGCCAAGAAAGAAGGTACACCCTACATCGTGAATGAACTTGCCACAGAAGATTTTCTGGATTTTAAAAAATTTAGCGACACAATTGGGAAAAATTTTTCAATTAATTCCAAACAAGAAAAGGTTGTGTGGAATGAGATTCAAGTTCTACGCGTAGAAAAAAATTATCCAACGTCGTTTTTTTATAAAACTGACTTTGACTTCCTTGAATATGAACAAATTAACATCCAGGAAAAACTAAGGCGTTGCATTGACATTAGCGCATGTTATCCCGAAAAGGCCTTTGTAAAAGCCCCATCGATATCTCAAAAAACTAAAGAACATCTTGCTTATTTATGTGCAAAAAATGCTATTAAAAAAGTGTACCATGGGTTCTATAATAACATAATTGGTGAAAAGTAATCGTTTAACTTTTTTAGAGTATAATGAACGTGCTTTTATATACTTTTATATATTTTTTACTTTTGAATAAAAAAAATATTTCAGTTAGTAATTTACTGCAATAACGCCACAACTACTAGAAAACTATTTGGTTTTATGCACGGGTGGTTCAAAAGTGGTGGACGCAATATGGCCACAACTAACAAAATTATACTTTTAATTAATCCATTGATAATGGTATAAATTAAAATCAAAGTATCACATTAAATAATCAATGTATGACAAGGCGCACAAAAATCGATAGTAATATGCAATTGTTATGGTTGGATATCTAAACAGCACTAACTTTATTTGCACGTACTCTAACATTGTTGTGTTGGCACTTGCGGCACTATTGAACTAGATGTGCGATATAGCTGTTAACGTATTTAATCGAATTTATTGGTATTTTATTTGAACTAAATTGGTATATAACTGCCTTGCTCTAGTCCTACTTTGATTTATATGTGTATTTTGGTGGTGAACACTTATGGGAAAATATACTCTTAAAACTAAAGATGTAAGTAGTAAGATATGATTATTTAGCGGATTTTGATTCAATATATGCCTATCCAAAAACCCAAATGGGTTGTAACTGTTATTTATTTTTCTTAGACTGCTGATAACCATTTTGTTTACAACGTGGTGTGGTGTGGATTGAATGAAAAACCTGAACACATTTTCAGCAATTTGGCAAATTTTTAATGCATCGCTTGATACGTGCAACAATCCTCCACGATTTTTCTAGTTAAAAGCTTTGAATGATGGAACATTTAACAGATTTAGCTATTTTTCTTGTACAAAACCTGAAATATACTTAGTACCAGTAAGTACTTAGTTACGTCTATACCTAATAGGCAAATAGGTAGGTACTGCCGTTATCTTGCTGGTAAAGGATGTGGAATAATAGTTCTACGTTATTTTAAGTGAATGGGAAAGTCGAAAACGCTCGGTATTGCATTATTGTTTAACATCTTCGTAGGTACCTTTCTAAAATCGGCTTCATTCCCCGCAAATGCACTATGGTGGGGGTACATTTTTCTCTTCGAATGGCTCTGATCCATTTGCCCTTTAAACTTTTATCCGTTGAAAATCAGCATATTATTTAAAAAATTATCGATAGAGTACATGTTGATAGGCACAAGTTAACCTAAGTTTATTGGTTTATTCTCAACAGAATTATCTGTTCACTAATTCGAGCTAATCACGAGAATGATTAATGAACGGAACATCTAAAATAACAGCTTATTTCATTATATTGCATATCATCTCAGCGATTTTTGCCCCGCGGTGCATTGTGTGTTGCATACTGTGTCGACAACACCTTAGATACGTTAAGCGCAGTCTATGGGTGACATCAGTCCGTCCATAAATGAACTGGTGAAATTTAGTACATGCATATAAAATTGAAAGCATTTCTTTTTCGATTTGCGCATAGCGCTTTTGAGTACTAGTGAATGCCTTGGAAGCATACGCAACTGGCTTGTTATTTTGTAACAAAACTGCACCACAGCCCTCACTTGATGCATCACAAGAAATAGTTATAGGATCGTTAATTGAAAAAAATGCCAATACTGGTGCCTCAATTAAAGCTTGCTTTAAATGATTGAAGGCTACTTCGTGATTATTTTCCCAATGAAATATCACATCATTTTTTAATAATTCCCTAAGAGGTGCTGTGACAGTAGAATAATTTGGAATGTACTTATTTAGATAATTAACAAATCCTAAAAATCTCTCTACCTCTCTTTTATCCTTTGGTTGACTCATTTTATATATTGCCTTCACCTTTGTTTCATCAACTTCTAATCCCTTTTCACTGATTGTATGACCAATGTAATTTACTTTCTTTACAGCAAACTTACACTTCCCATAATTATATCTTAACCCATGCGCTTGAGCTAATTGAAACACCTTTTGAAGTCTTAAATTATGCTCCATTTCTGTTTTCCCAAAAACCAAAATGTCATCGATATATACTTCCATCTTGTCCCTCAAAAATGTCTCTTAAACGTTTCTGGAACACTTCGGATGCTGAAGCTATTCCATACGGCAATCTTAAAAATTTATAACGTCCAAATGGAGTATTAAATGTACACAGCTTACTGCTTTCTTCAGTTAATTCTATTTGCCAAAACCCATTTGAACAATCAATCAATAACACTAAAATACTTCGCCCCTTTTAATTTACTAGTTATATCCTCCAATAAAGGAATATAAAAATGTTCCCTTTTAATTGCATTATTTAAATCCTTGGGATCTAAGCACACTCGGATATCTAAATTTTTCTTAGGAACAATCACCAATGAATTAACCCATTCTGTTGGCTCTTGTACTTTTTGAATAATTTGTAACTTTTCCATTTCATTTAATTTGTTTTTTTAATTTCCCATATAATGCGAAAGGTACTTTCCTAGGTGGGTGTATTTTCGGAGCTCTATTTTGTTGTAATTTAATTTCATATTTTCACCTTTTATACAACCAATACCCTTAAAGAGATGTTTGTACTTTTCTAACATCTCAGTTACAGAGGAAGTTAGATTGACCTGATTTAATTGAGTACAGCGTTCTATTAATTTTAATTTCATGCATGCATCAAGCCCTAATATAGCTTTATTTAAATTAATTATTTGAAATTTAAGACACTGAGAAACATCATTGCCTGCCTTAATTTGTAAATTACAGGTTCCAATAGGTTTTAACGCTTCATTTGTTATTGTAGTAATTACACCCTCAGTTTTGTTTAATTCAATTTGATTTAACTTAGTCAGGTTATTATACTCTCGAAGCGGAGTAATATTACAGTCCGCGCCAGTATCTAGCCTAAATGCGATTTTTGTTTTTTCATTTACAATACAATCCTCACACCAGCTTTCTAAATAATTTACTTCTTCATTTCCAACCTCTAAATCTAAATTCCCTATAAACACATCATTATCTTGTTCCCAGTTCAATAGCGAACATCACTGAAACTTTAGAAAGAGAGGGAAGTTCTACACATTGCTATCTTTGTCTACACGTCTACCAACATGGGCGTGCAATATAATCCTAAAGTTATATTGGTACAATGGTTGTAACTAGACGTTCTATAACCTTACTTCCTTGTTTACTTTTGTCCGTTTCGTTTGTATTGTACCTTTTGCACTCGCTTTTACCCTTATAATCTTAGTTTCTGCTTTTACTTTCACACTTCCGTCGCATTTATACCTTTCTTCCTATTACCTATTCGTATTTTTCGCCTTTACACTTCCAATCATTTATTTCCCAAATACCCTACAAAATCTGTCTTTTTGAAGACAAAACTATCTAGTTCACGTCCATTTCATGTAAGTAGTACCTAAGTGTTTTTATCTAACTTGCTAATTAAATTTGTTTAGATTTGCAATAATGGCTAAATGCTTTTACAAGAATTGTGAAAATACGAAACGATCAAAGAGAGGCTGCAATCTTCGTTATCATCCATTCCCGAAGCCATTTCGTAACATGGTAAAATGCTTAGTTTGGTTAAACAATTGTGGAAACGAGGACTTAAACATACATAATATAACAAAAAATGTGTACGTGTGTGAAAGTCATTTTCAAAAAGGTTTTGCTGATCCGGTACCGTATTATTTAACAATTCCCATGGAATTGGCTAGGAAGCATAGAAGTTTCGAAGTAGCGGAATATGTAGAAGTGGCAAATGTTGAAGAACAATCTCGAGAACAACAGCCTTCTTTACACAATGACCACCCATACAACAAGGCTGTACCTACTACGTCACACGTTGATTATACTAAAGCGACTCTTAAGCAAGAACCTACTAATAACTTCATACAGGACTTTTTCCTGTATGCCTCCCTTTCGAAAAGTAAACATTTCAGTTTGTTTACTGGATTGAGCGTGAAGGCTTTTGAAATTTTATATAAATTGCTGGATGAAGAAGTAATGCCTTCACTGAAGTACACATACAAAGTGAGAACTCCAATTAGAAAAAGAAAACTCATGATGTTATCAGATAGAGATAAGTTATGCTTAACACTTATTCGTTTACGAAGAGGTTACACTATTAAAGAACTTTCAATATTTTATAAATTGAGTGAAACTTATGTGTCAGTCATATTTTACACTTGGGTGCGGTTTATTTACCTTCAAACATGTTGTTTTCGTAACGATTTGATAAAGGGATCCCGTCAAACAGAAAGACATTATATGCCAGCTGTAGTCCGAACATTTGAAGACAAAGTTACAATAATTTTAGATGCCACAGAAGTTAGGATGCAGATGTCCCGTAATTTTCAAAGGCAAGGAAATACTCATTCTGCATACAAACATTATAATTCTCTCAAGTTCTTGGTTGGAATTTCATGTAGAGGTGGGATCATCTATAATAGTGAAGGATTTGAAGGTTCCATTTGTGATCCCGAATTAATTCGTTTATGTGATCTTGAAAATTTCTTGGAAGAAGGAGACGTTATTATGGCTGATCGTGGATTTACAATTCAAGAATTGTGTAATGAAAAAAAATGGAAATTGTTGATGCCGCCCTTTTTAGCAGGGAGGACAAAACTGACTGCAGAAGAAGAAATACTTACTAAGAAGATTGCAAAGTGTCGCATCCATGTAGAACGAGCAATACAGAGAATTAAATCTTTCCAAATTTTGTCACGGCCAATAAGAATTTCAATGCTGCCTTTAATATCAAACATATTTAGCGTAATTTGCTTTTTAGTAAATTTTGAAAAACCATTGGCTAGTTAACTTTTGCTTATTTTATTAAAATAATCATTCATATAATTGTACAAGTAAACTTTAGGTCTAATAATGTAATTATCAATATCAAACATGTGTAATTAAAACCTGTTCCTATCGATTTTGTATTACTTATTCTTAATCAATTTCATAACATGGTAAGTTACGAGGAATTTTCATAAGAAACATTTCTGGAACATACATTTTATAATACATCGATTTAAGATTTACTTTTATATCAAAAAGAACTTGTGGATCAACATCCACCATTTTAACGTTAATAACTAAAATATCTACTTCTGACCATACAACAAAATCGCAACACGGTACTTCAAAGATTAACATTGATGTGAGAATCTGATAATAATATGGGTGTTTAGAATACAGCACAACTACACTATTTAGTTCACGCAAACAAAAATTGTTTAATTGTTGTGCACTTAAAACCTTCATAAAGTCTTTTGGATTTCTTCTTTCTAAAATTTTTGGGCACTTTATTTCTATAATTTTTTTATATTCACCATCTTTAACCACAAGTCCATCCACACTACATGCAAGGTGTGGATAATTCTTGTTGGCGTACAGTCCCACCTGTAAAAGTTTTTCATCTTGATTTAAACAGTGTTTTACGTAG